CACCATAAATGCTGAAAAGTAGCTAGAGATTTTGAAGCACAATATGCTGCCTTCAAGAAGACATCTTTTCCAGGGATTTTCATGCATATTTCAACAAGACAAAGCAAAATTACAGTCTGCACATGTTACAAAGTTCTGGCTGTAGAGGAAGAGGATACAGGTACTTGACTGGCCTGCCCGAAGTCCTGACCTGTCTCCTATAGGGAATGTTTGGTGCATTGTTAAGTACAAAATGCAACAACAAAGAGCATGTACTGTTGCCCACATTAAGACTTGTTTGCAGGAACAATGGGACAAAATTACACCTGAAACACTTCATTATTTGGTGTCTTCAGTCCCTAAACGTCTGTTAAGTGTTGTCAAAAGGAATGACAACATTACAAAGTGGTAAACACAATTCCAACTTTTTTTAATGTGTTGCAAAACTAAAATTGAAAATGTGTTTATTATGAACACATAGATAGATAGATAGATAGATAGATAGATAGATAGATAGATAGATAGATAGATAGATAGATAGATAGATAGATAGATAGATAGATAGATAGATAGCTGTTGATATTGATGCCATATTTAAAAGCAGTAAATACATACACAAAAAATGCTGGATTGTCATAAACATAAAATATGGACAAATACAATGGTGGGCTTTTTTCATTTAAACTAGATTTTGTGGAATGACCCATTCTTTAGTAATATTGCCAGTCTTTTACTGTAAAATTAACAAAATGAAAACAAACCGTCTGCTTCACATGCCCACTCAGACAGAGTATGAGAATAGCCCTTGACGTTGTATTCTTTTGCGTGAAGTACGTTATAAAAAGTGCAAAACCAGAAACGTTAGCTGTACATAAAAGTTATCTTCAGCTGGCGATAACAGAAAAATTTTGAACGGCAAAATGTTCCATCAAAGGTACCAGCTGCTAATTAGTGGCTGCTCTGAGAACTCCAGTGCCCGCCAGTGACAGCAGGTAAGCAGAGTGGTCATGTAGGCTACTATAGTGGTGGCTGAAACTGCATTTATTCAGCCCCGGGGACTGAATGTGCTGTAATTCTGTGAAATACTGCCTTAAATTTCAGTGGGGTTTAGCTTTTATGCTTCCTTTGAAGGTAAAAACATGTTCAGGCCATGCTTGAGTGCACTCAAGTGGTGTCCAACAGGCGGATGTACTTTAGTAGCCTGTAGCCAACAGACTAAAATTCAAGTAGCTGGATTATGTCGAATTGTCAAAGTTCAATATATTTTAGTGAGCCAAATGTAATTCAAAGAAATGACTCTAAATGCATTCTGAGAAATGGCTAGTTTTGTTTTTTATTCAGAAGATTAATTAATTTACTGACCTTATCAGTTTGCCAATACTAAAAATGCTGGTTTTTGCAATCCAATGTTGGGTCAAATATGGACAAACCCAACATTTAAAAAGTTAAAAAGTGTCATTTTAAATTTAAATAAATTTGTATATAACAAGGACAGCTTAATGTCAAGACGCTGTCATGTCAACTAAGGCTTTTTAGCCTTATATTAATAATAATTAAAAAATTTAACGTTAACGCATGCTTTGACGGCCAGTTGCAGCCAAAAGCATTCAAATGACAAATACCAGTCTGATTTTGGAGGGTAGCCTAATCACACCTGGTAAGACAATTTGAGATTTTACTACAAAAATATTAAAAGAAAGGCTTACAAAATGTATAGACTACAGTTGTGCAAAACTTTGATTAAAATCCAACTGGTGCCCCTGCAAGAGAGAACTCAGAATGGAGATGTCAGCATATTTGTGCCAGTCTGTCAGATAAAATTGCTGAAAACGCTTTAATATTTTAGAGAAAGTAGTTTGCATAGCCAATGACTGGTCATATCCACCCGTGACCAACCCATCTGTAAATATGCAGAATGTTTTTTGATTACCTGACCAGCTGATTAACAGTAGCACCCACTAAAATAACTGATAAATTATGTGCTCCTATTGGGCCGTGTCACCCACATGGTGGGACTTGTTGTAAAGAACGAGAAAAGATTAAACATGCTAGACTTTCTGCGACGGTGTTGTGAGGCATCGCAGGCATGGGACTGGTTATTGTGAACTATGCCACAATACACAAGAAGAAACAATAGAATCTTGTGTCACAACATTTATTTGTGATTTACAAATCTCTACGACACACTATACGTCAAAAAAATTGTGCCTAAATCTTGTAATCTGAACGGGGTTTAAGAGTAAGATTGTATTTGCAAATGTAATTATCATATAATTTTACCTTTAATAAGTAAAATAAAAGTCCTGCTGAAAAATTAAAATAAAAACATAACATAAATACAGTTTTTAACTATTGATAATATTTTAATGACTATTTTGATGAAATACCTATGAAAGAATGCATAATTGTGTTATGTTTTGAATGTTTGCATGCGATTCTGCACTTTCCACCGATTTTATAGAAAGACCCGTAAACAAAAGAGGAATATAGTACCAAGGCAGCAATCTGTTTGCTATAAGGCAATTCTGACGTGTGGCGTGTTGTTATTTTGCAGTCTCCAGGTGAATGTGCTGCATTCCAGGTGCCGTGTGAAAGCAGCTGTCATGTCTGTGGGGGAAAAAGCTGCGTAGAGCCTCGGTAAGACATGAAATTACAGCACTCATCACACCAGTTTTCTCATTCTTCTTTATTTTTCTACAAAAATATTTCACCTTATAAAAGACAGCTCAGAATGTACATTGTTTTTTTTTTTTTTTTGCAACTCTCATAGAAGTTTTATCTTAAATATATATGTATATTTATATATAGTATATAAGCATTTCTTTCCATAAATGATCAGAGTGCACTCTTAGCAGCAGCCCAGGATGATTCAAACATCCTCCTGCTCTGTTTATGTATCTCTCATTATGTCCTCCGCTCTCTCTGACTGGGAAAACTGTAACAAGACCAAAATAATGATAATAATAATCGTATAAACAAATCTGGCTGTGGTGATCCAGGCATTGTGAATGCAGCATCATGCTTGACCTTGAAGAGCTAAACAACTGTGTACAAAAAATACAGTTGTTTCCAATCATAAGTAAATGCCATTGCTTTAGAGTGATGATTTTGATGGTGTTTATTACTAAAACAGTCATTATTGGAGATCAGAGTAAATATGAAGGTGGAAATATAGGAACAAAATGCTAAGACACTGAGAAATGGTGGGTCAGAGAGGACGGTTATGTTAAGGAACCCGTAGATTAAGTAAAGGATTATGCTTTTAGTAAGAAAAAGAGCCGAAAAGGTGCCAATAAAGATGAGTGACAGGGTTTTTAAAGCACTTGGAGTGAGGGAAGGTTAAGGTTGTGACTCATGGTATCCCATGATGCCTCTGAACTGCAGCCAGCAGGTAGCCCTATTCTTGAGATTTATGCCACCTTTCAGTATCTGCAATATCACTACCTATCATTATCATCATGATCATTACTATTGCTGGCCTTGGATGCGCCTCAGAAAGCTGGTTACTGTAATCTCTTGAAATTAATATACTTTGAAATGCAAAAAAATGATTACATGAAGAATAATAATACCTTGTTTTTACTTTTTCTAATGAAAATGCCAGTGATGCTTGCCTGCGCAAAAATCACGCTGTCATGATGGCTGTTTTGACTGATTTTTAGCATGTGCTCTCGCAAGAGTTGTTCATGAGTGTTTTCATAGTCTCTTTTTGGGGTCTTTAATATGGCTCATATTCCACCTGCTTTATTTTTGGGGTTGTTTTACTGTTTGCCAGGTGAAGTTGCAGGGCTGATTAATTAACACCTCAACAACCGGCATGTTTATATCAGTCATGAAGATAACATTCATGCCTGTAGGATATACAGCGAGGAAAATAAGTATTGAACATGTCAACATCTACATCAGCAGGATGATGAAGATGAAACCAGTGTGAACATTTCAGCAAGACAATGATCCAAAACACAGCCAAAGAAACTCAAATAGGCATGGGCCGGTACAAGATTCTGATGGTATTATAACCTTGGATAAAAATATCACGGTTTCTCTGTATTGTGGTTACTGCTCCAGAATAAGTTATTTTTAAATGTCTGGGTATAAGACATCAACCCCCCCCCCATTGAAAACAATATATTTTATTTTAAGAAACATTAAAATATTTTGGACCAGTAGCTTTTGATAAAGAGGTTCCTTTTCTGCTGAGATACTGTTGCCCGAAATTAAATCGCTGTGAAAACGGTACACTGTAAAACCCCAAAATTTAAGGTAACTCAAATCATTCGATGAAACAGCTTGCAAAAAAAAAAAAAAAAAAAAAAAAACACAAGTTCAAAAACTAATTCTAATGAGAACTGTGAACTTAATCCATTTGGGTAAATGAAGCAATTTGAGCACAGTAAAACCCAATAAATGAAGACAACTCAAACCAACTGAATACTGTAAAACACAATAAGTTAAGGCAACTCAAATTGCAACAAACAATTTGAGTGAAAAAACTAATCTATATGAGTACTGTGAACTTCATTTAGGTTGAAGTAATGAGGTATTTAATTAACTCATTACCTTCAACACTGAGTTCAAAACTTTTTTCAAATGAGTAGAATTAACTTTCAGTAAACTTTAAGTTCACTACACTCATTTCATTTGATAAAGTTGTTTGTTTTAAAACCTTAAAAAAGACTTTCCAAATGGCAGTAAACCTTGAAACCGGTTATCGCCCCATGCCTACTCTTAAATTCTTTTAGAGAAAATCAACCTCTAGAAAGGCCATGCCAATCACCTGAATAGAAAATAAAGCTCAGATTTTATAGACGAAACTCACTCAACCATCGAGATTTTTACACTCTGTTGAAGCCTGTGAAGCATGTGACTTCATATTCCATAAGCAGCGTCTAAGCTACCATTATTAAAAAAAAAGCCTTTTATATAAAGTATTAAATACATTTCAGTAATTCATGACCTTGCGTAATTCCATTGTTATTACACAACTAATTTGTTTAGATTTTTTTTGGTTTTGTTTTGATGTTTGTATTGTTTGGGTTTTTACCAAAATCTGGTTCAATTCTATGTCAACAGCTCCTTTAGAAATATTATTCCCAGAAAAAAATGACGTGTTCAATACTTATTTTTCCTGCTGTATAGTGCGCCTAAGAGGACAAAATGAGATGGAAATTTCTTTCACAAAATGGTTCATGGTTTTAAATTGTTATTAAAATATCTTTTTACAAAGTTACTAGGTTCTTAAAGTTTATTTTTGATGTTTTCTTAAGAAAAAAACATTAGTTCTTACAAAAGTACACTAAAATGCTGGGTTGTTAAAACCCAAATTTGGGAAAATATGGACAATCCCAATGATAAAAATGAACAGTATTTTCATCAATATCTCCTTATGCATAATTTTACATTCTTACAAACTTTTTTGTTCATCCATGAAACTTTTTCTTTGGAAAACGTTTGATTTTTCTAGCAAATGTTTTGTTTTCACTTACAAAGTATTGGGATCTCTTGCAAACCTGTTGCGTTCTTTCACAAAACCATTGTGTTTATTAATAAAACTAAAGAATTATTCTCTAATTAAACATGGTTCATTCACAAAACATTTACTTTAAACCTTTGTGTTCTGTCAAAAGTACTGTGGGTTTGTCCTGATATGAACTGCTGTTCACCAAAACCATTGCCTCAAGAAAAACCCGTTCCTCCTGTCAAAGTATTGCGCTCCCCTGAGAAACTTTTTTTTTTGTGTACTAAGAAAACATTTTTTGTTTGCTTGAAAGTCTATTGCTTTCATCCATGAAACATCCTTCTTTCTGCTGCTTACTACGATTACTAAGTTTTTGTGAATAAACCCAAAGGTTTTCGGGGCAATGCAAACGTTTGTAATGGAACGCAATAGATTATTTCTCCGCATTTCATCTTTTTCCATCCCAATGTCCCCTTAGGGGCTCTGTAGTAGCACAAATGGTGTGAGATAAATTATGTGCCGAACTTTAATGCTTGGGGTTATGATTGTGTTTGTTCATATCGCAACAGCAAGCACCACCACCACTAATAATAATAATAATATTAATATAATTTCCACTTTTCAAAATAAAGACAACAAAAAGCATCAACCGAAAACTAAAAAGTGATCCAATCCCTCTCTTGATTGAAGTGCTGAGGCTCTTCCATCAGTCCAGCGCTGGCGAAAGGCTTTTCCAGAGCTCTCATGGCTCTCTCTTCACCCACAGGCTACTGGAGTTTGTTTGAGCACAGGCCTGTGGCTCTGCCCTTATCAGAGCGGTGCAGAGGAAAGAGCGAGAGCAAGCGTCAAGAGTGGCGCAAACACCCATGCGGGCGACAGGGTCAGTCGCGTCCCAAGCGGGGAGGCAGAGTCTGAAGTGCAAGAACAAACCTCATAGCCATTTTCCGCATGGTCCGCGTGATGCTGGCCATGAAGTCTTGTGTTTGAGTTGTTCTGCATCTCTGGGGAGTCCGACTGCATTTCTGTGCACACCAGCCAATCCTTGCCGATGGGACGCGGATAACCCACTTCAACCTCCATATCGCTGCCCGCCACACGCCAGTACTCCTTTCCCTTGAAGAAATATGACGCACCTGGGCAGAAAATACAAAGGAATAAAATACAGGTTGATGCTCAGAAAGGGTTTTCCAGACCTGCTTTCATCTAGCACACACACACACACACACATACACACACACACACACACACACGCACACGCACACACACACACACACACACACACACACACACACACACACACACAATTATGATTTCACTTTATCTTCTGCATTTTTTTTTCCTATTCCATTACTGTTTCAAAACCACCAGGAGGGATTCTAGGATTTGAGCCTTGGAGAGTTTGACCCTTAATTATAATAATAATAATAACTCCAGAGGATGCTGAGATGTGCTTTCACAGAGTAGTCACACGAGTGGTCAGTGTTAGATTCTTTGCAGTCTGAGAGTTGACTGGCTGATAACAGTTACATAAATAAACAAACAAAATAAAAATAACTATAACATTTTGAATTAAATGATTCATTAATCAAGTAATATAAGAGATTGTAAGTTGATGAAAAGTAAATAATTTAAATAATTTAAATAATAAAATTACAGATGAAAATAACGATTGCATATTTCGTTTGTTAACTTGCATGTCATGAAGCATGAAGCAAGGGTGAGACGTAGAGTAGCCCCTTCTTTTTTTAAAAAGTAGCCAGTAGTGTTGTGTTTTTATTCACATCTCTGCCAGGGAGAGCATCGAATGAAAAGCAAATGAGAAGCCTCTTGAAGGGGGTGGGGCATGTCCGACAATAGAGAGTATTTCATTGGTCAAGCTATGATAAGAAACTGAAGTTTGAGGTGTTCGTATACATGTTTATATCAGTTTTATATCTCCTAAATGCAGATTTTGTCACTGTTGTAGATCACACCAATATACAGTTGAAGTCAGAATTATTAGCCCCCCTTTGTTTTTTTCTTTTCTTATTTTTTTTTTAAATATTTCCCAAATGATGTTTAACAGAGCAAGGAAATTTTCACAGTATGTCTGATAATTTTTTTTCTTCTGGAGAAAGTCTTATTTGTTTTATTTCGGCTAGAATAAAAGCAGTTTTAAATTTTTAAAAAAGCCATTTTAGGGACAAAAATCAAGCACATTTTTTTGATAGTCTACAGAACAAATCATCATTATACAAATACTTGCCTAATTACCCTAACCTGCCTAGTTAACCTTATTAACCTAGTTAAGCCTTTAAATGTCACTTTAAGCTATATAGAAGTGTCTTTAAAAATATCTAGTTAAATATTATTTATTGTCATCATTATTAGAAATGAGTAATAAAACTATTACGTTAAGAAATGTGCTGAAAAAATTCTCTCCATTAAACAGAAATTGGTAAAAAAATAAATGGGGGCTAACAATACAGGGGGGCAAATAATTCTGACTTTAACTGTATAGATGTTAAAAAATGAACAGACTGAAACTAACATTAAAATACTTTTGTTTTAATTTCATGGGACATTTAAAGGTCCAGTAAAGTGCTTTAAAATGTGTATTTTTTTTTTTTCAATGTGTGAGATAATTTGAACTGAAACAAACACAGGGCGGGAAATAGAATAGCTCCTCCCCTTATATAAAACGATGTAAACTACATTTCCATCCACCTATTTTTATGCATATTTTGGACATGCGCATAAAAAACGGTTGATGGAAACGCCAAGAGATTCATAAAAATGTGCACAAAAATTGTATGTGTATAACTGAGTAGGATAAACTTTTAAGTAAAGATGTGCATAAACTATGATGGAAACACTTTTACCGAACAAATTCTAGTATTCACAATAAAAAAAGTCATGTGATTTTGTTAAAAGAGATCATGTGATGATAAATGTGTGTGAATGGACAAACCAGCAGGCTGAGCACACTGTAAAACACTGAAATGTTGTTTGGGTCATTCTAAAACGCCTTAACAATTTCAGTATTATGTTATAATATTATTAATTACTTCCAGAACTGTCAAGAGTGTCTGCGCTCCACATCTCATGCCTTCAAATGCCACCACATGTTCATTTCATGTCGACATATTGTCTTTAGAGGCGCAAGTCATTTGTTAAATAGAGAAACGATTGATGCAGCTTCTCCTGGTGCAGAATTCCATTTTTACTTTTGATATTTTGCGCCAGTTAATCAGGAAGTGACAATTTTTTTTCTCTTTGACTACTTGGATGGAAATGCTGCTTTATTTGCTTATCTTGTATGCGATATTCCAGTTTTGCGCAAAAATGGTTGCATGTTTGAATGGAAACATAGCTAGTGATTGTAGTTCAGCTCAAGCACATATAGCAATAGTGTCTTAAAGAGGGCGGGACATGCAAGGAATTAGAAAGCATTTGATTGGCCAGAAGATTTAATGAGATTTGGATGTTTATATGTCTTGATGCAAACTTTGTTTTGGAGTATGCTAGCTTATAGATATTCTTAAGACTATAAATATAGTGCTCAGCATATATAAGTACAACTCTCTATCTTTTTAATTCATATTTTTAATAGGAAGATATACAATATTGTGCATATATATATATATATATATATATAGATAGATATATATTAGATTAGTCAGTACTGAAGCCAATCAGAAGCTTATCTACCTAAATAACTTATGATAACGGTCCAAAAAACTACTACAACCAAATTTATATGCTATAGAAAAATATTAAATACAAATGTTAAAAGGTGAAAAGATTAAGAGAAGCAAAAAAAATAAATAAAAATTTTTATAAAAAAATAAAAAATTGAGAATTTTGTAGGTTGCAATTTTATTTTGCAACATTTTGCTTGAATTTAATTGTATTATCTATCAATTTCTAAACATGCTTAGTGACTAAAATATTTTTTAATAAATATATCTGTTTAATACATCTGTTTTGCTTAAGTAGACCAGGATACATTGCATGTATTCCCTGAGAAACGGATAAAAATATTAATTTTCAAAATGGAGTGTACTCAATTATGCTTAGCACTGTTTTTATAGCTATTTAGAACTTGAAGTAAGCATTACCTGAAAAATAATAACCAAAAATAAATATTTTTAACTTGTTCAGCATTGAATAAATCCTAGAATTAAATGTTTATAATTTATCTATAAACTGCTTCTACTCCCGCTGACAGCTGGAAGAAGAAATGGGTATAGTGTAAAATCCCAAATGGAGAGTCCCACATTTTACCACTTGATGAAAAGCTCTCCCTCTGCTTCAGCCGAAGACTTGCATTTGTAGCACATGAACGAGAGCTTTAGTATCTCTCTCTCTATCTCTCTCTGCAGGTGAAATTGGCCTTCATTGCTGTCTAACTGAACAGGAGACTGTCGGCTCCTGTGGAGCACGGGGACTGACACTTTAGAGTGTGGCCTGTTCTCAGCGCTCGTCCTGTGGGGTTGGCAGAGCCTCAGAGGAAAACACCTGATGAGACGACTTCTCTGGCCTTCATTCTGCCTACAGAGCTGCCACTGTGGGGGAGATCATCTGGTGAGGCAACTCGATCCTAAAACTGCTTGTGTGGGAATAGGCAATGTGTAAAACTGCACAGATGATTCCACATGGTGTATTAAATGGCATTACAGTTCATCTAATGGCCTCAACTGTAAAATGACATTTAAAAAATCTGCATGTGACACAAATTTAAATGTTATAGGTGTCAAAAGCAATAATTTTTGTTATACTGCATATAAAATGTCCTTAAAGGACTATTTTTATCATTAATATTTAACATATCATGAATATTTATCATTAAAAATTGTATCCGCTTGTTAAGTCATGACGTTCAAAGCAATCTCACGGCAATTTGTAACTTTTTGATTTAGTGGCTAATTCGTATCAATACTTTAACAATTTATAAAAAAATCCCTTCATGAGGGCCATCTGACATTATATGTATATATTGCGATCATGATTTTCTAAAGAATTTTAATCGCTTTGTAAACATTTTTTATTACCTTTTTTTGAGTCACACTTAACAAGCGGATTCTTTGGAGGCCCTATTTTCATTTAGTATCAACATGTATTTTTAGCAAAATGCATGTTTTTTTTTTTTTACTGCATGTGTATTTAAATGCATCTGCCATTGTGCAAATGTTACAGATCTACATTAATCTGTACAGAAATTTAACTTAAATTCCTGATAATTTTTTTTTACTTCTTTGAAAATCTCCTTTTTGTTAAAGATCTTTAAATTTTTTCAGATGTTTTTGATTCACAAACACATTTGATTATTAGCAATCTCGCTCAAAATTTTCTAAAAAGGAAAAAGTAGAGATTCTAGCCATATCCGCCTAGAAAATCATTAATTTTCCATCAGTCTTAGTACACTATGTAACTACAGCAGAGTCAAGCATTAAAGCAAGGACTATAGAATACACAAGATGTGTCACTCGTATAGTTTTGAATGGTAAAAAGTGTAACGGTTAATATGGCGAATGAAGCCCCGCCTACTAGTACAGGAGCCAATCAGTGGCTGCTATAAAGTGAAGGAACTATGACGTCAATTTGTATGCAAAAACCCGAGTTAGCATTTTAGCAGTTCCGGTTCCTTGTCCCAAAGTCAATGTGTTTTTTGAATTTGGTTTCAGTAAAATCGCTTAAATAAGGTTTGTGGCTAACACAAACTCCAGATACTTTCATGTTTTATTCTACGACATAAAACACACTGGTTACATCACACTCTTGATTTTTTAAATCGTTATGCATCTTTAAAAAGACGGTTGCTATCAAGTTGCTAAATGGGCGGTGTCGGAGACATTATACGTCATCGAGTTGATCTGGAAAGCAGCTCACTTGTGTTAGGCATTTGGATTTGTCTGTTATTTAAGTATTTTCATGAATAGTATTTTATAGTTTGTATAGTATTTTTCTAATCGGAGTTCATATTATGTGTAGATAATTCCCTCACTTGTAAAGACTGTCGAGACAGATTAATTTGTTGATCCTTTATTTTAATTAAACAACATTATGAAGATACTGCTTACCAGTGCAGCCTGTCTCTTTCCTGCTGTCTGTAATGCAAAAGTGTGAATAAGTGTGTAAAAATACATACATA